TTGCTCTCTGCCTTTTCTTCTTTGTAATATTGAATTACATTTCATATGTTACAACAATTGTGGATTAAAGAATAAACTTTATTTTTCTTTCATTTTCTTTATATTTTTTACTTGTATCAGATTTGTTACAAAATCACTTACATAGTTTTATTTTTCTCATTTTAAACTGACCTCTGTGCAATGCATTGGTGAAGTACTAGTTAATATAAATAAAAAATGCTATTATGATGATGCTAGAAATTAGATCACCTTAAGTAGTTGAGATAGAAGGAGCTGGGAGAGCAAAGTGGATCACTACTCACGTGCTAGATGGTCTTGAGATACCTGCGAACAAAGAACACGTGAACTAGGCCGGGGGTTGATCCGGATGAAACCCCTCCGACGCTCAAGTCAGACGTGCGGATAGTAGAAATATTTGAGAGGATACGAATTAAAGAATTGTTTAGATAATAGGGCGTACCTTTAATAAATGAATTATATCGTTATTTATACCTTCGTTGAGATTGTTGGTTCCAAACCTTCTTTAAAGATGATTGAGCATCGGTAGTAGTGATCTTCAATATTGGACTCGTGGCCCAGTAGATAAATAAATTATAGGTCCATTGGGTTGGTACAATTAAGCATTATCCCTAATATTATGTATGAGCTATTGATTGGACCATAGTCTATTTCAAATCTTATGATGTATGCAGTGGATTCACTAACAAAAACATTTTTTTTCAAGTCCAAATTTACTAAATGAAATATTATTATTTAATAATGATAATTGCACCAAACAATTCTAAATAACCTTTATAATAAGATAATTTCGAATAATCTTCGTAATCCATTCCAGTGTATATATTGACTTACTCAATATAGCCAGAGATCTATAAAATATACTTTTTGCACTTGTGATTAACAAAATATACATAATATAATTCATATATATTTATTTACAGAATCAAATTGGTAAAATCTTTTAAATTACAGATGGAAATAGCCAGATATTTACATATATATAATAGTAGTCAAAAACACAAATTCTACAACTCCAAGTTGATAAATTTCAATAGCGTAATTCGTTGACAAGATGGCCATGTTTAGTACTAAGCACTCCATTGTTCTCTTTGTTTTCATTTTCGCCTTAGGTAAGAGCTTCTCCTCAAGATTAGTACAAGGTCTTTAGATTTGAACATAATAAAAAGTATATGAAATTTCTCATGAGACGTGTTTAATTTGAGATGTATTAATTATTCTCGACTTCAAATTAATTGGGATTTTAATTAAAATATATATTTCATCATTTTATCTGTGTTTTTAATATTTCAGTGATGTGTTTTAATTTGTTGGAACGAAATCTTAAGCAATAGTTAAATTCGAAACAAATGGAGTACGTTTTATGATTATTTCGTTTGAATGAATGATTGCAGTTAACATGGAAGGAGAAACGGCGGATGCTAGGGAAGTTGTTAGTCCGAGTACAGCTCCTACATCAGAACCGCTAGGCACAAATGTATGCAGAGACGATTATGGTTTGTGCGAAACAAATATTTATGGAGATCTTAAATGCTTAGCAATGTGCAACTACAATTGGAGAAAATCTAGACATGTAAATGGGAAGTGTAGCGTCCCCATCGGTGAAACCCGACCCCATTGCTACTGCTACCATGACTGCCCATCACATAAACTAACCGACTTGAAACTGTTCTAAATTTAATAAATTTTGGAAATGTTTTTATTCCAATAAATTATTAATAATAAGTTCCTTCTTCCCCTACCTATTGCACTACTTTGTTGGTCGGTATGTTATGATATATGACGATGTTATGCATATCTCAATTAAAAAAAATTAAAAAAATAAAGTAAACTTATGATTTAATGACAACAAGCATATGTAAAATTATTAATTATTACCAATTAATTTAGGCAGTAAACTTATGAATCATTGGTTTAGGTGACCAACAAGCCAACTTGTAGTTATGGTCATTAATCCATATTTACTTGTAAACAACCTATATTCGTTATTAATGAAATTTTAGTTTTGGTAAACTATATGTATTGTCCCATTTTATTATGCATAGTATATGAGTCTCGTCAGGTACAATGTAGTGACATTGGCATACATAATTGGTCGACTAAAAATCTGGCGTAAAAAGAAAGAACATACCTATACATGCCCAGTTATTTTCAGTAAAGTAAACATACCGATTTAAAAAAAATTAAAAAATAATTATATATATATATATATATATATACATAAATCTGGGAAAATGCAAAATGTGGGACCAGAAATGCTGAATGCAGTTTGGACAAAAATTGCATATAAAGCAGAATAGTACGTTCCCCTCTCCATGGGGTAGACACGGCCATGGGCCGGGTTTGACCCGGACCCGGCCCGAACCCACCCCTTGACCGCCCCGGCCCCGGCCCCGCCCCGCCCCGTTGACCACGGACCCGGACCCGTCCAAGCACGGGTTGGTTTCGGGTCCAGATATTTTGGACCCGAAACCCGATGGGTCTACCCGGTACTCATCAGAAACAAAGAATTTGAAGTCAACGGTAACTATAATAATTTCTAGGGGAAATTGGCTAGACACCCCTTATTCTAGACTTATATAGGTGGAGATCCAATCTATTAAATATTGGTGTAGCTCCTTGATCAATTAAATTAAATTAAATTATTAGTGTATAGACATAGATGCCCCCAATTAATATTTATTTGTAAATAGTTATTTTAGAAATTAAGGGAACAAATCCCACAAATCTCTCATTCTCTCTCCTTTCTACACGGTCAAACATCTCTCCCATCCCATCACACCTACACACATCTCTCTCATCCCTTCTCTCTCACACACGTATTCCACTCTCTCTCAAGGCAACTAATTTGAAAATTAATTCTTTATTACTTTATAAAAATATTTAATTTTTTTTTACATAAGTATTTTATAGCAATCTTTCAATTATTAATTTTCTTGAGATCATATGTGTTGGATTTTAATTGTTATTTTGTATGTTCTCGACAATATTGCATTTTTTTGTTTGCATTTTCTAATTAGTTTTACTTGAACAAACAACAAAATAAAGAATTTGAACAACATAATAAATTTGCAACATAAAATAGAAAACTGCAAATTGCAACTTATAAGTGAAAATTAAATTATAAGATTATTATCACACATTGACATTGATTCCGCGCACGTCCGCATGCATTTAATATTGCTTTTCTTTTCTTCGATCTTGTTGAATAATGACTTGATCCTTTTTTTTGCAGTGGATGTTGAATATGAAACAAAATGTGATAATGATTGTACGATATAAAACAACAAATGTAATAGTTGCTAACATTAACAACCACTAATTACAAACTGTAAATACAAACACTGAAGGCAAACTGTACACGAAAAATGATAAAGAATGAAGTGCAAACTGTACACTGTAAACTACCAAAGTTATTTAAAACGAAAAATATGTTTGCAATAAAAAATAAAAATACAAATTTCAATTTGAAATAGAAAAACTAAATTATAACAATATTACATGATGTGCAACAAAACTTTAAAAAGTGTAATATTTTCACAATAAATCATATTAATGCAAACAATAAATTAAACTTCAAAGAGAAAAATAAATGTAAATCATTAAACAATAATTTTTGACCACTGGCACTATCGAGGAACTTTTTCATGTCAGCGGCATTAACCAAAAATTGTCTTCATTCTTTTTTACCCAGGCATGTATGGGTTGAAACAATCTCACGATAGGATATAATGTACAATCTTGAACCTACAAAAAATAAATTGCAAACTTTAACCACGACTTACTAATTGCAAAGTTAAGGAAAATAACAAAAAAGAATTATGATTGCAAACAACAAACAACATACGCAAGTTCAAACAAGATTTGCAAAATAATCTGAAAAATGCAAATAGAAAATTGATTGCAAACATGTGCAAAAAGAGAAAAACTAATCTAAAGTCCAATTTATGAGAATTAGAGTACAATATAAACCTAATTGCTAGCAACATAATTCGCAACTCAAGAACGTCCACATACGACAAGCATTACATTACAAAATAGTTTCAAAGTGAAAATTAAAATTGCAAATAAATGTCTCTTGCAACAAACATGTTTCAAAGTGTAAACAAAGTAGCTTAAGAAAAACTGCTTAAGTAAAATTTAAAAGAAATTAATAGCAATTATTAATTGGAGATGAAAACAACAGTTCATCTTACAAATGTAGACATGAACTGCAAACAATTAATACGAACTCCAATTAAGACCAAACATGAACTGCAAACAACCAATAACAACTTCAATTGCAATAGAGAATCGCAAAGTGCAAACTGCAATTAAAAAAAATATAACCAGACTACTAACTTCAACAAACCCTGCAATTTATATCTGATTTCTCGGGGATTCGAATTCATCATCCTCGTTCGCTGTCTCAAGAAAAAAAAAACGGGTTTTTGAATGAGTATTGAAAAAATCGAACAATCATATGTACATGTAGTTAATAGGAGTATTGCTTACCGAGACTAAATTGTGTTTGAGCCATTGTAGAAATCACAAACAACAAATGAAGAAACAACAGACGATGTCTTCAAACAACAAACGATCTCCAAATAGCAAACGATAAAAGAAAAAAAAAACTGATTTCACAGCGTAGACAACAAACGAAATTTTGTGGATTGCAAACGGCAGACTCAATGCGATTTTTGGTTAGGTTTGGTATTGATGAAATCGATGTTTTGGAGCGGTGAAATTTGATGGAATCGATTCTTGGGAGTGGTTGAATTTGAGATTGAGATTTGAGAATACGTGAAATTTTGGAATGGGTTGATTAACTGCAAGGAGAAAATTATGGGATATTTATTTTGGAGATTTTTATTTCCATATATTGTTAGGGATAATTTTGACATATTAAAAATAATAAATTTGCTAAAAATTGAGTTTTATTAGTTGGATTTATAGACATAAAATCTCTTATAGGAGAACCTATAGCAAATTGCCCCTAATTTCTATGGAAGACGCAGTACTGAGTCATAGGTCCATAATCGGTCAATGGGGAGCAATTTCGGAATGGTTTCCAAGCCTACAATTATGGACAAAGAAAATATAAAAAAATACAGAATTTGAAGTCAACGGTAACTATAATAATAATAATGGGCGTTGCTATAATAAAGTGGACTTTTTTGCATTTGTTTGACAAAGATAGAGCTGTAAAAGAGTTGTTCAAATTGGTTCCACATCAGAAAGAAGAGACTAATTGAGATGTTGAGAAGGAGTGATGAAGATTGAAGACAAGTTGAAATCAAAGATGTTGCCTACAATGACCATTCATGAATGCGCACAGTCCGGAAATGTCACTGGCTTCGTAAGGTTGCTTCGCCATGATCCTTCTCTTCTTAACCAAACAAGTCCTCTCGTAAGATCCTCATCTCTCTCTCTCTCTCTCTCTCTCTCTCTCTCTCTCTCTCTCTCTCTATTGCACAAAATATCGAAGTCATGCAAAATAGTGTGTGTATGTGTATGTAATTCACCAACAAAAAGCGTTGAAACAAGTATTGGATATATTTTGTATGCGTCTATTCGTGTGTATTGTTGTTAGTTGTTATACTCTTTACTTATCTGTGTTTTGTCAAAGTCGATTTGTCGAAGCCGAATGAAGGGGCTGAGATCTATGGGAATTTATTGCTAAATACATATGTAATAAATATGTAGAGTCCAGATTTGAGGCATTCACTAATATATGGATTTCACTACACACATTCTTCTTTCATCAGTTGCACCAAGTTTTGAGATCAATCTTTATTTTCTCTCTCACACCAAAAAATTGTAATATTTTGAATTATTTTATATTTGGTGCAGATGGTACAAACGCCATTACATTACGCTGCTAGTCTCGATAGACTTCAGATAGTCGCATATTTGATTGGCTGGGGAGGTCCCGGAAAGCTGGAGTTGGAAGCTAAAAATGTTGTATGTACAAGTTATAATAAACAACAAATTTTAAATTCATAATATAATTTCCAAATTCAATCCCGGATTTTCATCTAAATATATTTCTCCATTTTGTTGACCATGATATGCGTAGTATGGTGAGACCCCATTGCACGTCGCTGCAAAGAATGGATGCAATGAGACACTCAAGTTGCTTCTCGACTACAGTGCCTATATTGAAGCAACAACAAATGTACTATTTTATTTTTCATAATATACGTTTATATACTTGTATCCGAATTTTATGAAAGCTAATTGAGTTACTCGTTTACTATTTGGTTTGCTCTGAATTTATTGCAGAAATCAATGACTCCATTACATCTTGCTGTTGGTTACGCACTTGGATCTGGGGACAACACGACTGTGAAAATATTGTTACAATACAATGCTAATCGCTCTGCCAAAGACAATGTATATAAAATCCATGTTCTCTATTCTCTCTATTCATATTTTGATTTGATAAATATTATTATCTCTAATTAATGTTGATGTTATTATACATGATGGCAGGAGGGCATGATTCCTTTCAACTATCTTCCAGCAGGCTTACAAAACGAGGAGTTGATCAGACTCCTGAAAGTCGATGTTCCAAATTTAATTAATAATTTTACATCAGAGCAGATGTTTTACAATACAAATACAACAGGCTATTCATCATATCAGAATAATAATCCTGTTAACAACAATTGTACACCACAGTATAACAAGACGATGGAGCAGATTTACAGTACAATAGGCATCTCATTGCCTGGAAATCCGAGCCTCAGTTCTTCGTCACATTTTAACAACATCATGGAACAGTACAACAGTTCAACAACAGGAGATCTTATAAACCTGGAGATCAACTGCAGTACATCATCAACTCCTGTACAACAAATAAATCTTGTCAGTACAACGAATGATTACAATGGAATAGAAGCAAAGATGGATGAGTTCGATAATGAAATGTCAAAGATAGTGGGATTGAATGATCTTAAACTTCAGCTCAATAAATGGGCAAAGGGAATTCTCATGGATGAGAAACGCCGAGCCATGGGAATAAACCTTGGACCAAAAAAACCACCTCACATGGCATTCCTCGGGAATCCCGGGACAGGTACTTATTTTCATCACTTCTATCTTCTTTCAATTATTATTATTTTTTTTCTTGATCAACTGGTTCTTCTTTGAGTATTTCTTGTTTGCAGGTAAGACAACCGTAGCACGAATACTTGGCAAACTGCTTAAATCTGTTGGCGTTCTTTCTTCTGATAAAGTGATAGAAGTACAAAGAACTGATTTGGTTGGAGAGTACATTGGTCAAACTGGACCCAAGACTAGAAAAAAAGTACGGACTCATATGATTCAAGAAAAAAAAAAACTTTGTATATATTTACGATTAATGTTTCCATTTATATATTAATAATGCTTGATTTGCAGATAGAAGAGGCAATGGGGGGCATTTTGTTCGTGGACGAAGCGTATCGCTTAGCACCCGTTCAGGGTACAGGTCATTGCCAAGACTTAGGTGTGGAGGCATTGGAAGAGATAATGTCGGTTTTGGAAGATGGCAATCTTGTGATTATTTTTGCAGGCTATACCGATGACATGAAGCGTGTGTTCTCTTCGAATGCTGGATTTTGCAGAAGAGTGACTCACTTTTTCCAGTTTGATGATTTCACATGCAAAGATCTTGCGGAGATGCTGATGATAAAGATGAGTAAGCAAGACGAAAATAGCCGGTTCTACGGATTTAAACTCCATCCTTCGTGTACTTGTGGTGCTGTTCTTGCGGTGATAGAGAGAAACTCCACTGAGAAGTTGCGCAATAAACTAAATGGAAGTTTGGTGGATATTATGCTGAACAATGCGAGAGAAAATCTGGACTCGAGACTCAATTTTAATTCCTACGGTGATGAACTTTTGACGATAACATTGGGTGATTTGGAGGCTGGACTTAAGACTTTATCACAACGAGTGAATGTCGTCGATTGAAAGAGAGAATAAATGGCTATATGAAGACCTAAATAGAGAGATCGATGCTCGATTGTATGTGAATCCAAATGCGAATATTTGCTGCCAAGTGATCATTGTTCAAGTTCAACTACTTTACGTTCCTTGGAATAATCGACTTTCGGTTTTATAAAAAAATTCTCTCAAACTATTCTATCTTAAATCGTCACAAAATCAATCTTGTTGAAGTGATCTATAAACGAAAATGACTTCCTCGAATGGGGATCGTGATTTACATCACGAGAAAATAAAATTTACACATTTTCAATCGATTAAACTGAAAATTGGGTTTCATGCCCGAAACGGGCACACACGCAATAGCAGCACTCTTCACGCCCAATTTGTGTGCGGAAAAATGAGATCCACGCCCGGCACCCAAATTGGGTGTGAACAGTGCTTTCTCGCGCTCAACCTGGGATTGAAGCGAACTATCCGGTTCAATTAACATATATGGCGTAGAAGCCAATTTGATTTACACAAATGGTGTACTTTTTTTTTTTTTCGTGTTTGAGTAAATCACATTTACTGGGCCATTTATATAAATGGTGTAATAGTAGAATTGATTAACAGAAATGATGTGGTTTTTTTGGAATTTACAAAAGTGGTGTAAAACTCCACTTGTAGAGGCGATTTCTGGCCAAAAATCTGACAAGGCAGAAATCGCCTCTAGGAGATGTGATTTCTTTTTTTTTTTCTTTTTTTTTTAATATATATATATTTTGTCAAATCGTCTATTTAATCTAGCTCTTTGGTTTGTGATTGTGGAAATACATAAGAACATAATAACAATAATAGAGAGAGAATGAGAGAACACAAGCAAGTAAACAAGATCCGTAGAGTGATAATTGTGGGTATTTAGGGGAGAGGAGATTCTCATTTATATAGATGTAATCCACCGGAAGTTACAAACGAGTTACATAGGAGTTACAACCACTACAATGTGTGGGGATAATGGGGTAGTGGGAAGTTGAGAATCTATAGTGGAATGGAGGTTACAACTTCTCACGTGTTAAGATAGGAAGACCTATATTTCCATATTATTTTTACAACACTCCCCCTTGGGGATTCCTATCAAAACACTATTGTGCTTTTCATGTTGCCTCGTTAAAACCTCCGAGTAATAAAAACCCAATGGGAAAAACAACCTTGGTTAGGAAAAAAAGTACAACGCACAATCTTTCCAATCAACATGTGTTGCCTCGTTAAAACCTTGGCATGTAACGAAAACCTGTAGGAAAAATAAACCTCACACGCAGGAAAAAGAGTACAACAGGGCACCCGGGATATCTTCTGGATACTGTGTACCTACACGGTACTCCCCCTCAAGTTAACTCCCCTTGATATGTACAAGGGAGTGAACTCGGATAATCTACTCAAGTCAATAGCCTTTACATGTTTCCAAAAGTTGACTTTAGGCAAAACTTATTCTTAAATTTGGAGCAGTTATCTCAAATTTTGATCTGCGGGATCATTATTTGTTTAAGATATTGTTGTTGCTGATTGAAGAAAACTTCAAAGCTATGTACATGGAGTTGTCACTTTAATGAAGCCAATCTTCATTTGCTCAACGCATACTGTATTACAGTAAAATACAATCTCGTAGGATCTTCTGTGTTAGTCAATTCCTAGGAATCTCGAACATGCCTAATCATGACTTCAGGCCATGTGCATTCACTCAATATCTCGTGAAGCAAACATCATGCATGATTTGATCTAGTAACAACTAAGGTACATTTCATAGAACTCCAGAACATAGCTATTTTCCCAATACTAAACCATGGATTGGGAACAAGCTTTGTATGGATATGACTTCTAGTTAATGCCAATATAAGCCACAAGCTTCGCCTCATTCATTGATGCATAGGGCGTGTCGGTAAGGTGAGATAAGTCTATCTAATAAATTCACCGAAACCGCTAAATCATATCGAGTACAAGGAGTTAAGCATAATAATGCATATATTTCTTTTACATATGGCACTTCTGGTGCTAACACTTCCTCGTTCTTTTCCATGGAACGGAATGAATCATTGGACATATTCCACTGTCAAATTCCCATAGGTGTTACTCGATCAGTTCTCTTTATCCATAACATCTTCTAGATGTAATTGGAATGATCGAAAAAAAATATAATTGACATGATAAATTTTAAGTTGGCTGAGACAACAAATTAGTCTCGTTTAGATCTTTGATCTTGAATTCAAATTTTCAACAATTGAGTTTCTCTTACTTGATTTCTCAGGAGTCCAAATCAAGTTCATGTCCTTAACATAAATTGTTGTAATGGGAACAATCAAAATCAATTATTGTTCACATATTCTCTTCCGGAGCAATTACTCACATAGGATATTATCATATTCTTCCGGAATATTTCAAGCCTCAATTTAAGTGAACGTCTCAGCCCAACTGAGTTTATGTTCCGTGGCTTGGAACTAATTGTTTCGGGGAAACATAGTCCTTCAGAGACTTTCATATAAATATTTGTATCTAGATCCTCGTAAGATACTTTGTGACCACGAATTTAATAACATTTACCATGAAAGAGTATACCTCTTTAAAATCAATCTCAGGATGCTGAGGAAATGCTTGAATTATGAGATGAGTTTTCGAGCTCTCAATCTCATTTGCCCATAAATTATTGTACTATCAGATGAGTCTTCTGGCTCCAAATCACGTTCGAGCTATGAGATGAGTCTTCTAGCTCCCAATCTCATTTGAGCTATGAGATGAATCTTCTGGTTCCCAATCTCATTTGAGCTATGAGATGAATCTTCTAGTTCCCAATCTCATTTTATTCCTTAAGCTATGAGATGAGTCTCCTGGCTCCCAATCTCGTTTAAGCTATGAGATGAATCTTTTGGTTCCCAATCTCATTTGAGCTATTAGATGAATCTTCTGGCTCCCAATCTCATTTGAATTATGAGATGAATCTTCTGGTTCCCAATCTCATTTCATTCCTTTGTGAGTACTCACTTATAATTCCATGGGTGAAATTCAAGGAGGTGTAGGAACTACTGGTCTTTATACTCTTCATTTTATCAGGGAATCAAATTCAACTCGTATTGTTTCTTTCTCATTTTGGCCCATCATCCCTTTGTATACACTTATTTGATCGAGATTATATATCATCACTCAATAAAAAGTTCAGTAGCTACTGTGTAAGGAAATTTGTCATTGATGATCATTTCAGCCTGATACAACATCTCATTTGCATGAATAACGAATCGAGATTTTCATATTCTCGAGAATGGATATTGATGTCGAGGCGTCCCCCGACTTCGTCTGCATGACGAATCCATAGTCCGGAATTATTTTATGAGATGGATCAGAAGGAATCCGATTGGTACTTGTGCTAACCGGATTCGATTGGTGGGCATTATTCTCTTCTGGAGATAAGAATCCTTTGATCCCATTGCTCTCCCCCTCTTCTAGGCAGGGAGGCAAGATTGGTTAGTAGGGATTGATGGCCTACCCATATTTTATCCTTCTAGGACATCTGTCATTGCTGGCTTATTTAAGATCTCGTCACTTTTTCAAATCAGAGAATGAGTCTCGCATTAATCGTTTTACACGACTTCATATTGTTCTTTAGGAACATTAGTATGGACGTTCTTTGCAGATTTCTAAGTTGTCCCATACGACTTCATACCGTTCTTCGGGAACGTTACTATGTACATTACTTGCAAATCTATATTGTCATCCCACACGACTTCACGTCGTTCTTCAGGAACGTTAGTATGGAGATCTATTAATTTTTGTTTCAATTCCCTGATGTAGGGGATCTTGATGAGACACGGTGGGGGTCGTCCCACACGACTTCACGCCGTTCTCCAGGAACGTTAGTGTGGACGTTATTTCTTACCCCTAAAGGCGGGAAGACAGTCTCATCAAAGTGGTTGTCCGCAATTTGAGCTGGTAAGAGACCGCATGTCTAAGGTTCTAAATTTAAGTTATAGATGGTGATACATATTTCACCTATATCTTCTTGGATTACTTCCAAGAAAGGAATTGAATCATTATATGTATGTGCCTATGCTGACATATAATCAAATTACTTAATTTCTAGCAATCGACAACTTATGCTTCTGGCATACAAATTGTGGTTCTACCTAATCGTGTCGAAAATTCCTCTAATTTTCCCAATGTACGCTTCTGGCCGTACACATTAGAGATGATGCACATATACTCGATTTCTTGTCTTCAATGGTTTCAACAAAATAACCATTAGCTCAAATATCATTAAAGTTTAATAACGTTCTACTGGAACGTGGAGAAAAATTGAGCTACTTCAATGGGCAATATTTGCCACAAAATAACATAATGTGGACATTACCATAACCATCTATCAAAACTACATGTGCCTCATTTAGTTATCAAAGAGGTATTGCTACAAATAGACATGAAATTAATAAAGTATGACTTATCTCTCAAGATAGTATGTGTTGTCGCACTAACTGCCAGACATTTATCCCCACATGTCATGTCTATAGAGTTATATAAATCTAATCATATATATTCAGTACTTCAGATACTAAATAAATTCATCAAGCAAACACCACTGAATAACATAATAAATTAACTTAGAACATACAGTGACATAAATATATGATCCAGAGCATAAACTAAACATAATCAAAATACGTATATAGTTCATAACATGAGCATGTGAAGTAAGATGATTGAAATTCAATAAACTAATAAACCCGAGTAATAAAATAAATAAAATGCATGAAATCAACAGTTGAATAATATTCCAACATGGGTTATTTGGTCAGATGTGCCCAAGTATGGAAGCTGAGTGACGCGCTATACATTGAAAACATTTACCTCTACTAACTCAGTCTATGCTGGTGTATTATTATTTGTATCTCCAGCCCCAACGTTCTTCGCACTTCAGGTGCTCGACCAATGCTTATATCCACCATATATAAAATATATGTGCATGTTCTGATTTTTGAGCTCTATAGGGATTTTTAAATTCATATACAAATCGTTTATGAATTCACTTGTTCCTTGCTTCCGGCAAGTGAACTGTCTTTTGGTAATCAAAACGACTATTCAGGTATCCCATTCTTTATGGGGACCCTCGTTTGATGAATAGTCCAGACGAAGGACTTTATCTAATTATCTCGTAATCAGAA